GGGTCATTTCAATACTAATTAAGTAATTGAAGCTAACAGTAAAAATAGGTGTCTAAATACAGGATCTTGCTGAAATTAGAGACAATAAGTGGAGAGTTTGATATCTTCACAAGTAACCTAAGTGCTCTCAGACTTCAATTATTTGACATGAGCTAGCAGTATTTTGGGGGTACAGAGTATTGCGTATGTTGTGTTGCCTACCCACTAATTGAAGGGGCCCCTCGTTAATTACGATCAAGATGAAGCAAGAATCAATTGGATCGCATTTTGCAAAAAGGAACCAGCGTGATTACAGTGTTTTCAAAATGGTGGAACTTCTCCTTTTCTTTTAAAAATACTGAATTTAAGTACAGTATTAAAAGTTACACAATTATTTTCCTTCATGTTTAACAATTTTTTGGTGGGGAGCAAAAACCACTGACTAGTTCTGGAGATTTATTAAATAATTATGAAGAAGCAATATTTTTACAACACTGGAATTGCGCTGTTTCCTTTTTGCTGAACGCTATCCAATTTTTCTTTGCGTTGAAAATAGCAGGGTTTCGTTAAATCGTTCAGAGTTGTCACTGTTGTCAGTTAATGGATTTAGTGACATTGCAACTGTATTTCAATATTTTCGTCGCGAAATGCCACCAAGGGATTTGGCTATTGAGGTTGAGAGGGATGATACCGTAGACCTGCCCCTCGTATTTCCGGTGACCTACCGAGAGGTCAGATGAACTCCAAGCCCCCNGAGTGATTTTCCCAAGACGGTCTGGTCCGTTCACGGGATGGGTGTGGTGAAGGGGCACAATATTTTTATTCGTCCAAGAAGCTGATACTGAGAACAGAAGAAATAGGGTAAGTTTTGAAGAGCCTAGAAGTTTTATGGTTTCGAGGAAAGTTGCCCATCTGCCTACCCGGCGTGTGATAGAGCCTATCCGAGGAGGAAACCGACCGATGTCGGCGGAAAAATTCCATCGGGAAAAGTTGAGGTGACACGGTTTTAGTGTTTTAATAGACAGCGATGCGGCGGAAGGGTCAATTACTCATGCGACGTTGCAACATTTCCAGTAATCACTCAAATGCCCCGAATTGTAATGTTTTCCAAGTCGATTAAATTAGGTGGAAACTTTCAGCACGGTGTTGCTATCTGCAGATACTTCCTTGAGGAGACAGATATACTTAAAACATTTGCGAGTAGGGGCGGTTTTTGCTATTTCGAGAAATACGTGTTAGATTTTTTTAAATTACATGGATCGATCCTTATATCAGAGAGAAAGTTCAAACTGACTTATTGATGTTTAAAAATTGGAATTTGGGAGCTTTTTTTTTTCGCAGAACATGCAACAAGACAAGTTTTCCTCGATCATTACTATCTCAATTTTTTCAAAAACTGCACTTATGCGCGCTTGTCCTCCAAGACCCTCCTTTAAATAAATTTTAAAAAAAATTGGGGGAGGGAATTTTTTTAAAGAGAAAATTACCTAGTCCATTTCCACTTGCATTTTGAATAGGCGATTGGGTGTAGGTACCGAAGCATGTTACGTCATGTAAAATAAATCTATCTAACGTGGAACTCCAACGCAGATACGCTCCCTCTGCATAAATGATCTTCATGATCCCTCTGCAGATTTATCTACTTGCCGCCCGTAGGCCGCCTGTATTTTGCCGCCTCCTTCTCATTCGTTTTGAAACATCAATAAAAACCATCAATTGAACATGCCAGCGGGGGTGGACGAGGTCTTCCATTAGAGATGAACGAAAAAATTATGAAAGAACAAACATAAAATGTGGCTTAATGATTTTGACTTCCGCCGCCGCGCCGCGCAGACCGCACATGCACAGTGTTTGACGCAATGCGTGAAGTATTCACGCAGTCTTGTAGGCGCTATGCGTTTCACGCTGATCGCACTGTGTTTACCGCAATTAATGCGTGAGGTATTCATGCATTCTTGTAGGCACTATCCGTTTCACGCTAACCGCAATGACCGCACTGTGTTTGATGCAACGCGTGAAGTATTCGTGCAGTCTTGTAGGCGCTAATGTGTGTTACATGCCGATCGCCGCACCGAGGGCTTCTCCTTTTCACTCAAGTCCTCGTCATCATTTCTCTCTAAGTCGCGCCGTTCCGGGCCAAATTGCGTGTTTGGTTTCTCTCTTAACTCGAATAATTAAAGATGCTGTTTCTTGCATCACTGAAAGACGACAAAATTAGAAATTACTATACTCTCAGGAAATGAGAGATTTGGTCGTCTTTTCTCGTTTGTAATTTTTTTTTCTAAATCTGATTTTTTTTATACCTACGTGAAAAAAAATTGAAAAATTTGCCGCCCCCTCCAGATTTGCCGCCATGGGCTGCAGCCCATGGGGCCACCACCTTAATCCGGCCCTGTTTGCAGCCGCTGAAAAATCGTCGAAAATTTGTGGAAAATTAGATTTCATTTTGCATCTGTGTATGTATCTGAAATTTTTGGGTGTAAAACAGTTTGTTCCTCGGAAAGAGTCGGAGATTCGTGTCGATGAGGCAACAGGTACAAGTATGATGAGAGTGAGTCAATGTGAGCACAGATGTCATCGTAATTCGCGCGAGATCTGGATCTGGCTGTCGAATTGGTTCAATGTCTGTTTGCCTCTCCCGCCGCCCCCGGTCCCCAGGACGCGGCAGAGCCGTTAACCTGAGCCTCTGCACTTGTGTCACTACAATAAGCCGCTCTGTTGGTTTAGCGAAAAATTCGCCCGAAACCCAAACACAAAGCAAATAGACCTTGACACTAGGACTAGACTTCCACTTTCCACGGCGCCGCACGGTGGATCGAGTCGACAGGAGAGGCCGGACAAAATTTGGAAACTTTAAAAGCTCATAACTCCGTTTATACAAAACTTTGAGGTTCTAAAAGTGTTTCCGTGGGTTTCCTCGTGAAATTTTCTTTAGAAAGCACCCCTTAAAATTTGAAATTTGACGGATTACAGATCAAAATTTACAGATGTAGTCAAAAATTTCATGTCCGACCTCTCTGTTTACTCGATCCATTGTGCGGCGGGGCGCTGCCCTCGGGGCTCGCGGAAACTTCTCGACGAAATTCAAATAATCCTGAATTAATGCAAACAAAATTCCGTTCCCGAAAGCAGGGGGAGCAGGGAGAGAGTAAATTTTACTTTTTCCGTAGCCTCAATCGTGAGATGGGAGCTGATGAGATTCGAGGAG